ACCAAAAAAGCTATATTTTATTGATTGAATTAGAGATACATTGAAACACATTTTGAGAGCAAATATTCGGACAATTCTTATGATTTCTTTTTATTGATTTATACCATAAAAGAAGACAACATTTTGATTATATCTATACTTTACGATCTACATGTGCATGTACATTGTACATGGTTACTTTTATTTTGATGATAGCAACCATAAGACCGGTGGCGGACATTGCATTTAAGGACAGTTTGATTCGTTCGACGGTGTATACGATGGCCAGCTGTGCGGTCGCCGTCTTCTTCTTCGTCGCCATACTTATAGTCGCCATATATAGGGTTCATATGAGACGATCGTTACTCGTGAACAGACCTTCGCCACCGACTGCTCGCATATACAGCGGTACCGGAAATGCAAACACAGATTGTATTTACGAAAATGTAATTAAATTTCAATTTTCTTATATTTATTTTGTCATCTTTTTTGACGACAATTTTATTCAAATGGTTTAACTTTATTGCGAAACCAAAAGTATTTGAGTTTTATTTTTGATGAAAATTCGATGCCTTTAATCGTTTTTATTGATGTCTTGAATGAATGTCTGACTTCTCTCTCATTTCAGTCAACGAATGAAATGTTTGAACCGTTAGATCCGATAGACTTGGAGTTGGCGTACAATCAGTACGAAAGCGATGATATAATGCTAAGCATTTCGCAAATACCAAAACCTCCGCTCTATAGCGAAGCGCTTAATCATCCGATAATGCCGTACAACGAACCCCCGCCTCCTTACTCGCCTCCAAACACACCTCCCGTTCCCCTCTTCTCACCACAAACTGAAGTAATATATGACTCACTTTTTCACTTCAATTTGATTTGATTTTAAACGAGTTGTAAATTGAATTTTAATATCAAAATATTTGTCTTTACATATCCTTAGGCGACGTCTTCAACGAGTGAAGCGCCAGAAGAGACAGCGTTTGTGTCACTCATTGCCGTCAATACAACCAATGGTGATGAAGACTGTGAGCCCAAGCATTCAAATAATACCAATAGTGATGGCCAGACCTCTCAATGAGACGAATCCATTTGTTTTGTATTCAAATTTTACGACAAAATCTTTTTAGACATTATATTTATGGTGATGAAGACTGTGAGCCCAAGCATTCAAATAATACCAATAGTGATGGCCAGACCTCTCAATGAGACGAATCCATTTGTTTTGTATTCAAATTTTACGACAAAATCTTTTTAGACATTATATTGAAGTGAAGAAACATTTTATTATAGAAATTATATATTAGTGTAAAGTAGAGACCAAACGATTATATCTTTAGATATAATTTAATTCAAAGTTTCCAATAAACCACTAAATATATGATTGATTTGAGGCTTCAAACAAGAGTTTAGTTCAAAGAAAAGAAAAATGTTGACAAATACTAAAACATTTCATTTTAAAATAGAAAAATATTTGCATTTTAATTAAATATAAGAAATATTAAAATTTTAAAACAATTTTAAATTTTAGTCTTACATTAGTTTAAATCATTTGAATAGCTTTTTGAGTTGATACGGGTTTTTATTTTTTCTACTTTTTAGTTAAACAGCTATATATTAAATAAATTTCAGCATTTTTTAAATTAATTCTCAAAACATAATAAATTGTTTTGTGAATATCGATAATACAGTCTATTAAAGCAATTCATTTACTAAAACTATATTAAAACCTAAAACAACAAAATATTCAATTAATAATTGATTGATTGCGTGCATTATTTTTGGTCTCAAGGAGTTTGCAATTTTTGCCACAAAATAACAAATTTAAAATATATAAGTAATATTTGAAAATTATTTTTTGGCCATTAATTTTGATTAATACACGAAAATCAATGTAATTAATGTATATTTTCCTCAAACGACTGTTAATTTCTCTGTATATAAGCATTTGTTTGATAAAAACCGGTAATAACTAAATCACAAGCAGTTATACCGTATATTAATTCTGTGTATATATAGAAATATATATCATATTTAAAACATTTGTTATTGAAATATGAATTGTAAATCAAATTCATGACAGTATTCTCTTAAAACTCATTATAATATACAGTATTGTATTAATTAATAAATTAAATATTTAATTATTTATTCAATTGTGTTAAACTTTATTCACTAAATAATGCATTCATTTAATCAAAATTCAAATCCAAAGGAATTTATTTTATTATTAAATTAATTAACTATTGAATGAAATATTTATGCGTCGATTAAATACAAATGTTATGACAATTACAGTATTCACTGATTTTCCTCTAATTATTAACAATAATATTAATGTTATTTAAAATGAATGTCAATTTGGGATCAAGTTTTGGGGCAGAAATCAAAATTTAAATAACACTTTGAAATCAAATACTGTATATAAATATATAAAAATTAAATTTAAATTAATTCCAAAAAACATCGAAACAATTGATGAGAGGGCGGGAAGTGATGGCGAGAATGGGATCAAATTGTGGTGATTATGAGTCAAAGACCTTCACTAAAGAGTTGGACAGAGAGTCGGAAAGACTGTCGTTTGAGTCGTGTTTGGAGTCATTGTTATTAATTTGCGGCGATTTGTTGACAATCTTCGGCGACTTAATAGTGACGGAAGCGGTGGTCACGGAATTGGGCGCCGAATTGAGTGCCGTTGGGGTCACAGGACTGGTCACCAGCTTCTTCGCGGCGTTGCCCACACTTATGGCTTTGTTGTTGTCTTCGATGGCCTTGCGTTTGATGCCTGACTTGATCTGAGCTATTGTTTTGCTCTTAATGTTCGCCGATATCTGATTCAACTCTTCGCCAAACCGTTTGACAGCCGACTGAAGCATTTGGATGTCCTCTGAGTCCCAGCGACCGGTGGCCGCACCCGACGTGTCCTCACTTTCGTGTAAAGTCATCGACAGTTCACCCAATTTTGTGAAAGCAATTCCCGCGGCGTTGAAGATCTCACCCACTCTTGTGGCCGACGACGAAGACATCATCGATAATGTGTTACGACAACTGATCCGCCGATAGTCTTGTCTGCAATGGATTGTCCACACAATGGGTGGAAACACTTGCGCCGAGTCTTCGTCTCCGGCACTCAATTTGCCGCCGATTTGGCGTCAAATCTATACAAACAGATCGACAATCAATAATCCGATGCACTCTTTGACTCTTCGGCGACGGATGTAGTGATGAAACACTTGTGACACTAATATTGGCCACAATTTGAGCCCTAATTGTGATTAAAACGTGAAATGAATTCAAAATTTCAAATCCAATGCAAAACCTGTGAAACGACTCCAACATAAAGATGTCATCCCTTTATATGTCATGTGTTTCCCATTTATAGCACATTTCACACCATTTATTGCATTCAACCCATTGTTCGCTCATTTCATTCAACTATTACTAAATTATAGATTATTTTTATTATTAAAATTAATTGATTATTTTCTATTTAATTGTAAATTATACCAAATATAAGTTATAAAGTATTGTTATATTTATGTGTATTTTACTGGGAGTTGACTGTATGTAAGTACAGATTATAAGAGATTATTGTTGACACATTCAATGCAATTGCAATACAAAATAATACACACAATATAAGCACTAATGCATTACTACTGTATTAGTGTCTACTGTATTGAAGTACTGTTTGATTGAAACTCTTTTTGAACTCTTTTTTGGTGAAAACAATTTTTGTACAAAACTTTATCCAAACTTTTTTCTCGTAGATTATTATTAATTCACTTATAATTCAAATCAACGCTTATTTAACGCCTAATTCACAGCTCATATGTATTTAAACGGCAGAATATTCTTACGTTAAACCATATAAACACACGGTTTCACACGATTTGTCAAAATATTAACTCATAAAAAACTTGGACTCAGAAGGAAATACAGTAAACATCACCTAGCTGATCCAGTCGTGGTTGATATGGTCATGTCCAGTATTGTATGGAGATTCATAAACAATCTTCAAAACGGGCGAATGGCCATAAGCGCCAAAGTTATGGCCATATTTCTAGCTATTTGCATACGTCTTATAGCACTAAAGTTTTGGTGAATGGCATTACTCATGTGAAAAGCCAATTTTCAATGCATTCAGTCCTATGCAAATAGCTAGAAATATGGCCATAACTTTGGCGCTTATGGCCATTCGCCCGTTTTGAAGATTGTTTATGAATCTCCATACAATACTGGACATGA